GCAATCAAAGGGTGTGCGGGTCATGGCGCCGGAGGCGCTGAGGACCGACGGCCCGCCGTGTTTAAGGGGATGGCAGGGTGTGTTTTGAGATGAGAGCAGGGGGGAAGGGACACAAGTGTGCGCCTCCTGCAGCGGGAGGAGCCGATGTTGTACCCCCACATCCGGGCGGCGGTCTAGGGGTGCGTGGCGGCGTGGTGCGGGACGGGGGGCCACACAGGGGTGGCGGACGATAAGCGGAGTTTGGGTTGTGGGCTGTTGATGGCTAGCAGGGATGGAGGGTCAGCAGGTATCAAGTAGGGGCCCGACAGCTCTTGCGTAGCGGTGGGCGTCGCACCACCACTGCCCCGGGCGCTGTGGCCGCCAAGCACTCGGTCAAGTGCAGCAGGTTGGCTATGTAGAAGCACATGGGGGCGTCCGGCAACGCGCATGCGGCTGCTGTCAGGGCTGCAGCTCGCCGCAACTCCCGCGGCCCCTCTTGCCCGCCCGCCTGCTCATCTTCCAATCCATCAGGTGGTGTTTGCCGAGGCGTCGCGGCGCACCGGGCGCACCATAGACCGAGTGGTGACCATAATGGACGCGACAGGCCTAACGTTCAGCATGCTCACAGGATTTGCCCAGCGGGTGCGCGCGGGGGCCGGGGCGGGCGCGCGCGTGCGCGGCGGGGCCGGCCGCCCGTCGCTGGCGGCGAGCGGAGGGAGCTCGCGCGGGGCTGCGGAGGAGCGGGGGTCCACCTTTGGATAGCCGTCCGCTCGGCCGGGCAGCGTGGCGCCGAGCCGCCAGCTGCGCCGAGTGTGGCGGCTCGGCGCCAGCTGCGCCGCGCCGCATCGCGTGTTCGGCAGCATGCTGAGCTGGATCGTGCCCGGCGCGTATCCCTTGCGTCCATGTTCGCAGCTGTTCCGCGCGCTGACGGCGATGGATTCCGACAACTACCCGGAGACCTGCCACCAAATTTTCATCGTCAACAACAGCGCGGCATTCAGCGCGATCTGGCGGATGGTGAAGGTGTTTGTTGACCAGGGGACGCGCGACAAGGTCAAGGTCCTGGGCAGCGGCAACCCGATGCTGGTGGGTCGCGGCGCCGCTGGCACTAGGGCGGGTGCGGGAATTTTGGCCTCGGTGCGATTGAGCTCGTCATTCGGGGTGCGAGCGGGTGCGGGGGTTGCTGATGCGAGTGGCGAGGCGACGGCAGGCTATGCTGGTGGCTGCACATGGGTCTGGTGGTCCGGCGCAGGTGCTGGGGGGGGGGTGCGCGGATCCGTGGTGCGGTGTGTCTACGCACTCATCATCTAGGGTGCTTTTTTGATGAATTGGGTGATGCTGCGGACGGGGCCGGGCAATGGCAACCCCGTCTTGGTGGGCACGGGCAGGCGGGCAGGAGGGGCACGTTGTTTGTGCACACTGTTTTGGGGCATAGACCCTCGCAATCTGGGGCATGGGGCGCATACTCACACGCAGCCCCTGTCCCCCACGCACACATGCACGCACACACACACACACACACACACACACACACACACACACACACACACACACACACACATATACACACACACACTCACACCCACACAAGAGCACAAGAACACAAGAACGCACCTCGCACCCCTGCCTGCACACGACACCCTCTCCAGCGCAGCGCTGAAACACACACGCACATTGTCCCCCTTTCCCGCCACCCCCCACAAAACCAAAGGTGGCCCTCCTTCAGGAATTCGACGCCGCCCAAATCCCATCGTTCCTGGGCGGCGCCCTCGATTACGACGAGCGGCGGCGGCAGTGGATGGAGACGATGGACCTCGCAATGGCGGAGGCCGCGGCGGCGGCGGCGGCGCGGGCGGCCAAGGTGCGCCGAGCGTGCTGTGCGTGCTGTGCGTGCTGTGCGTGCTGCGTGGGCTGCGTGTTCTGTGGATGCTGCGCATGCTGTGTTTGCTGTGCGTGCTGCGTGTGCTGGGTGGCCTGTGCAGGCTTTACGCAGTGTGAGCGGAGTAGCGCCTGGGACGGAGAGTGTAGGCGAGGGGGGTTGGCTGCGTGCGAGGGGGCCCTGGGGCGTGGACCACCGCAAACGGGGCCTCGATATGCTGATGCGGGGGTAGAGGGGATGGTTGTGTGTGTACAATGCGGCGCCAGCAAGGCGCAGAGGCCCACCCGGCAGGCCCCATTGCCCGCTCACCCCGCCCTCCCCCAACTTCACTCGCCAGGCCCCAGCAGGCGGCGGCGGCGGCAGCGGCGCGGTCAACGGGTTTGACCGGATGCCGCCGCCCGTGCGCACGAGCGTGGCCGCGTCGCAGCGGTCGGAGAGTGTGGATGATGCGGACGGGTTTGCCACGCCGGTGTCTGCAGCCTCGAGGTGTGGCTGCTGTGTACGGTAGTTATGGGGCAGCACAGTTGTGTCTCTGTAAGTGTGTGTGTGGGTGTGTGGGTGTGTTTGTAGGGGATGGACAGAGTTCATGTGTGTGCTCAAGTGCGTGTGGGTGCATGTCAGGTAGGGCAGGGTGTGTGGGCCGTTGAGCAAAAGCTGGCTTACACCAAGTGCATGAGAGTGAGGACACATGTTCTAGGGTTGGAGTGACCATCCGTGTGTACACGGGTGTGTGTGTGGGGAGAATCGTGTGTGTGTGTGTGTGTGGATGTGTCTGTGTGTGTGTGTAAGGGGGGGGTTAGCGTGTTTCTGACCACACGCGTTATTGTGTCTGATCCCAGGTGGGATGGGTGCCTTGTGCGGTGCTCCCCCCAACACACATACACACGAACGCACGCGCGCGCACACACACACACACACAGGCAGGTGCCACGTGTGCCATTCAGCACGCTCTTCAACACACATACACACGCGCACACACACACAGACACACACACACACACACACACACCTCTGCCTGCCCCCCGGCCACGACGTCGGCGCCCCCACGGCACCTCAATCGCCCCAACTCAACCACCCCAAACCCACCAACCGCCGGGGCCCCCGCAGGATCAGCAGCGCCATGTCTGTGTATTTTGACGCGATAGACCACAGCTCACCATCCGTCACCTCCACGCCCGGCCAGCCGTCGTCCGCCGCGCCGGCCGGCTCCGCGGCAAGCGGAGAGTCCCCCGGCGGCTCCCCGCCCGCGCCGGGCACGGCCGGCGCGGCGCTGCCGCCGCCGGTGCTCGCGGGCGGCGGCGGGTCGCCGGGGGTGCGGGGCGGCGGGGGGTCGCCTGGGGGGAGGGGCGGCGGCGGGTTTGATGCGCCGCTGCCGCAGTACCACCCCCAGACCTCCCACCACGTGCAGCGGGCGTCGACGCTGACAGCAGTGCCTTCAGGGGAGCTGCCTCCTGGGACCGAGCCGCAGCCCAAGTGCTGCGTGATCAGCTGAGGCGAGGGCAGGCCCGCGGCGGCCCAGCCGAGCATTTTGGCGTGCGTGTTTTGACGCCTGCGCCCATATGAATGCGGCCGGCGGGTCGCCAGCCGCAGCCCCTCAGCGGAGCAGGCTCGGGGCGCCCTTGCAGCCTCGGCCAGGCACACACCTGAAAAACCACCTACTTGTTTGTGCTGACAGCACTTGCGCGCGCATATGTCGCTTCATGCCCCTTCACGCGGGTGCACGGCGTCTCGCCGGGGCCAACGCGCTGCTGGCGTCGCGGCAGTGGCCTGGGCGGCCGCGCGTGCAGGTGCCGTGGTTGTTGCAGGCGACGACACTCCCAGCACGCAACCTCGAGTGCGTGGCGCTCCGTGGGCGGCGGCGCGCAGCGGTGAGGCCCACATTTTGTTGTGTTCCACACTGCAAGCCTTGCTTTTGACTGCCCCGCACGTTTTTTTGGTGCTTTCTTGCTTTCTTGTCCGCCCTTCTGCCTCGTTTTGGCTGTGCATGGGGCACGTCGGGCGCTCCTCTCCCCTCGGTCGACCCGTTGTGACGTTACAAGTGCGTCACTGACAGGCGTTTGCGCCCGTGGCTCAGGTTCGCTCGGCCGCCGACGCCCCTTATGCGTGCGGGGCCGACCGCGCCCACAAGACGTGGAAACCATGCATGCGTTGCTAAAAGAAACTGGGCTAGGCTCCCACGTCAAAGGCCCTTCGTAGTGCGCCGCAACACGTGCGCGCGCCCCGGCCTGCCGCGCTTGTTTGGCGAGCGGTTGTCCGTGTGGGCGAGGCCGCAATTGGTTGGCGCCCATCGGCGCCGCGTTGTTGCTGGCAGCCGAGTGTAAGTAAACGTTATAAGTATGATAGGCAGTGCGTGAATCAGGTCCCTCTGTAACCTGAGGATGGGCTTGCCACTTGATGTCTCCTGCAACCTGGTCTTGTGAAAAGAAACGACCCAACCCAACCCCCTCAAAGTCGCGCGCCAGACCAGTGGTGGGTCTGGGTAAATCCTGTCCGGGAGAAATGGTATAAATGATATGGTGAAATATCATTGCGCTGCACTCTGTGAAGCATCTTTGATGCTGGCCGAGCAGCGGCCCCTGGCATCATGTAAAGAGGCAGGACCGGCCATTTTCCCACCCCCACTCCCGGCCCATCGCGTCGCTCGGGGGCACGCGGCCGCCCGGCGGCCGCGCGCCCTTGCAGCGCGGAACAGCGGCGCCTGCTGCCGCCCCTGGGCCGCCAGGCGCGGGCACGGGCCGGCCGGCCCCATCTCTGAAGACGCAGCTCCGCCCGTCCGGCTTCCAGCCCCACAGCCGGCCGGCGTCGTCCGACGCACCGCCGCGGGCGCCGTCGCCGTCGCCGCAGCTGGGCGCGTCCTCCCAGGCTGCTGCGGCGCGCGCCAAGGGCACGTGCCCGTCCCGTTTAAAAGCGCAGCTGCGGCCACGCTCCCACCCCCACAGGCGTCCGACAGTATCTTCTGAGGATGAGGCGCTCGAAAAAGGCAGCCCGACGCAGCGCGGCGCGCGGACCCAGTCCGGGTCCCTCACATCCGTGGCCTTCCACCTTCCAGCAGGCTCCGGCTTTGGGCCCGGGCTGGGGGCTCCGGGGGCCAATGTGTTAGCGGTTGCTGGGACGGAGGTGCTCGGAATAAAAATGTTTGCCGGCGGAGGCGTCAGTGCTTCAGAGTCGGGCAAGAGAATCAGCGGCGCGCCGGCGGATAGCACTGACGTCATCGGAGTCATCACAGGGACCGGCGGCTCCGCCGGCGTTGCGGGCGCCGGCGGCAATGAAGGCGAAGACGATAAAATTATGAGGCTGAGCGGCGGCAGCCCGAGCGCCCCTGGCACGATCGCCGGCGCGGGCGCCCGGCCGGGCTGCGGCGCTCGCGGAGGCGGCGAGCGCGCCGGCAATGCGATGGGCTGCGGCAGGCCCCAGCGCGCAGGGCGCGCGACGATAAGGCGGCCAGCGGTGGACCCGAACGCCTTGGAGAGGGGGAGTCCGATGATGTCTTGGCTCGAGTTTGCAACACGGGACAGCACCTGCTGCCGCTGCTCCGCAGATGAGCCTGCGCGAATGGGCGGCGTAGGGTGAAGGCTTCAATGCCAGGAGGATCAAAGAATCACTCTAGTCCTGTGAGAGCAACGCCTTTGCACTCATTTTCTGTGGCCAGGCGGCCCCCAGTGACTTTGCATTTCTGTCGAAGGTGGGTAGGTCTCTGGCATCCTGGATTACGCCAGGTTAGCACGACACAACTCGGGAGTTTGCCCACACCCAAGCACCACCCCCTCCAAGCCCTCCAAACCCCGCACCTGACAGGTCGAGCGTGAACACAGTCCGGATGATCACTGGCACAGGGGGCGGGCGAGCAGCCTGCGGCTGCGGCTGCGGCTGCAGCCCCAGCAGCCGCCGCCGGCCGCGCGCGCCAGGGGCTATACCGCTGGCTCTGGCGGCCAGGGCCGCCCTGGCCAGGGGGGTGTCTAACTTGGGGACAGATTTGACAAGCTTCGACGGCCGCTGCGGCAGGCCCGGTTCCCACTGTGCAGCAGGCACCAGCGCCGCCCCGGCCAAACGAGGGGGCCGGTCTTCGTCGGCAGGCGCCTGCTCGGGCGGGCCTGTCGTCGCGTTGGCGGGTGCTGCTGCTGCGGCCCGGGGCCCTCCGGGCCGGCAGACGAC